ATATGATGAAGATGTGGATACAAATTTACTAGATGATGGCCCAATATATTACTATGTACTATTGGTTATAGACTGCGCGACTAGAGATAAAGATTTCGTTTTTTTTACATCAAAGAGCAGTGAGGAAGTTGCGGAAGCATTTAAGAGTATATACTGTATATGATAATCCTGATAACCCTCTTAACTGGCCTCGAAAATTGCAACGTGATAAATGCACTGAGTTTATGGGATACGTGACTTTATTAATGGATGAACATGGCGTTGAAATCCGAAGAATTATAGCACGTTAAAGGCATACAAGTTTCGCAATGATCAATCGTTATGCTGGATTATTCGAATATAGAATATTTAAAATCAGTATTCGATAGAGTTCTTCCTACCTACTGGCAAGCGCTGTAGAGAATGTGAGCGGTTTGCAAGAAAAATTGTTGATAATATGAATGATAGCCCAACTCGATTGATTGGGATGAGTCCTAATGACGCCACAAAACTTGAGCGGATATATTCCAAACCATCAGTAAAATATAATCGCCCAATAGGTATTGATGAACCACAACTACCAAAGGGTACTACTATCCGATTTTTGCTCGCTCCTGGAGAGTGGGAAAATGACCCTTTCGAACGACGCAGAATAACAGATCCGATATGGTCTCCCAGCCTGCATAAGATCCGGAGAATTGTTGTTGGGAGAAACCCTTCAATGCCTGTTTTATATTACAGTATTTAGATGATTCAGGACCTCAGCGTCCCTTTGTAAGAGAATAATTAATACATATTAAAGAAGAGCCTATGTTGCCTCCTAGGTGGGTATTGAGAGATAACCAAATGCGTACAATGCGCTCCTTATAAAAATTTCTAAGTCTACTACGCAGTAGGGTATAGTTATAAGAATTACTCCTTCCCTGTAGCATAATGCCCTCTTTTCCCAATCACGCCAGATTTGTGCGTCTAGATTCATCTGTCCTTGCGGGTGAAAAAAAGGGACAATTTGGTAATGTTGGCTACCACTATATTCAAAGGCCAAGCCTAATTCTTCATTATAACCATCTAGATGTAATCCCTCCAAGAATTTAGGCTTTCGGAGTGGAAATTTTTTATGTAATAAATCCTCAAAATATATACCGGCATGTTCTTTCCGGTACATTAGGACAAATGTTGCAGATCTATAATTCTGTTTCATATTTTTATATGGCGCCTCCCATTGATGACCCTTTTTACATGACCATAAATATGTATTAGGACTAACTTTGCCTAAGCATCTTCCTTCACGTCTCTGGGCATATGCCAGAGCTTTAGTATCAATTTCGATAGGTACAATAGAATATCGTGTACAGAAATTTGCAGTAGTGATCATCAAGTATGGTCAGAAGAATCGATCTGGATATATGCAAATCCAGGTGCAAGTTCGAAAGTAAAATTAAACTTGGCTACTACTATTGCATAAGTAAAAAATAAACCACCAGTATTCTTAGCAGGAAGTGGCAATTTCGGCTAAGAGTACTTGACAATACAGCTCACAATCTTGTCTATATATTCGCCGTTCCTTTCTTTTTATGTATTATTCATCAAGTAGATCGATACGTATCTTTACATGAAATTTATTTCGTAAAACAGAAGACTTAATAAGACAGGGAAGAATTCTTGTAAGATTATTTATATTGGATTTGATTACTGCATGAACGTTTGCAATTTCTTCTCCTGCTGTAATCCAATCATAACACGGAGTATAGAGAACTGTATGAATACGGGTTATTTCTTGTTCACTACAGTCTAGCCGATATTTGATAAAATCAAGATCTTCACGAAATTCCCTTTCTTTTAGCTTTAAAATAACTCGAAATGCTTCAGAATTCCATTGATGATTCACAGTAAGACAGGAATACAGTATAATATATCTTCAATCTTGAGATTACTAAAAATTAATTCAAGCAGTTCGGAACGCAAGTAGCATGATAGTATATTCAAGAAAACTAGTATAAAATTACATAGAAACTTGCAAAGTTCAAAATAAAATTTTATATAATTTCGAGCGAATATGCTTGCTAGTAAAATACTGGGTTAGTGGTAGTACCCAGCGCCAAGCCGAAAGAAAGTAAACGATGTGGTAGCACTCCAAAGTGATCGATGTGGTAGTCCCAGAGTAGTAATTGTACGGGAAAGGGCTCTAAGAGCGCAGGAGCGAAAAATAAGATATAAATTTGGTAGTACACCAAAGTAGAATAATATATAGGAAAGAAATAAAAAGTTACGCTTTGGTATACTATCGCCAATAGGCAGGAAAGAGATTGGGAAGGCAGAAAGGTTCAGGAGAATACACGAAAAAAGGGTATGAAAGCTATAAATTCCGAACCAATTCGGCACTTCGTGCCTCATCCTCGGCAATCAAAATGGTCATGGACAGGATTGCAAGAATGGCACAACACCGGCAATCAAAAAGTGAGTGAATGGATTGCGGTACATCTTTAGCAAATAGATGGATTGCAAATTCGGCACTTCGTGCCTCATCCGGCAATCAAATGAGCCGGCCATAATAATGCCTATCACGCCTCCGATTCTCTAACAAACTGACCACTAAACCAGGCCCTCGAAAGTTACTCAAAAGTTACTTGAAAGTGACGGGAAAGTGCCTGGAACTGGCGAGTTAATTTCGACCAGCACTAATCCATATTTTTTTCCAAAACTTTGAGACGCAATAACTCTGCATCCATGCATCCAACTCATGCGGTCTTAGCATCATTGGAAAGCTCTCAACGCCCTCTTTCAAACGACCACAAAACCGCACGAAACCAAGATATTCTGCCCTAAATATCAGGTCAAAAATATAGCATAGTGCCGGCCAAAATCTAATCACCAAATTTACTGCGCCACCCGATCACAACACGATTTTTTGCAATCAATGCTGGCCTGCATTTTGGTCACAAAAAGGCTACAGAGCAATGAAAACAAGCGGATAGATAGAAGGAAATAAAAAGAGGACAGAGTAATAAAATCAAGTAAATGTCTATAAAGCAATAAAAAGCTACAGAGCAATAAAATCAAATGGATAGTAATAAAGCAATAAAAAGGTTATAAAATATGAAAACAAGTAAATGGGTAACAATCTACTTATAACTAGGTAACAATCTAACACAACTAGGTTGCAATATATATATTGCAATCTAGTTTTTGTTTATTTAATACCTGAAGCAAGTGAGGTGTTGACTGTTGCTGATCTTAAAATCCAAATTAGAGTATATAAAAGTTTCAGAGTTGTATTTATTAGTTTGACATATTTGTTATTTGATAGTTGAATTTTTGGATCTTTTATACTGTTATATTACAAGTTTTAGATGTCAAGTATAATAATAATTAAATATAAGAAGAGTTTAAAAAAAAGATATAAGGTTTGGCATAGAATTCTTGTAGCATAAAATTTTATGTCTAAGTAATTAAAGCTTTTAATAATTTCTTTATTAAATAAATCCTTTAATTTTTTATAAATAATTAGAATATCATTTGATCAGCTTTAAACACTCAATAATAAAATGAACTATTTTCACTATGCCAATTACAATATATTGTTGCTTAGCAACTTAATAGCAATTAGTATCACAAGTAAAGATGGGTTCCTAAATTAAAGACAAAGATATAATTCAAATATCTCTTATTATTAACAAAGTTTTTTTTTAATATAAAAATAAAAAAAAACTATTTATAAAGATTTTTTATAGTTTAGATTATCCAATTCAAATGTTTTTTGAATTATGTTCCTATTAAAGTAAAAAGTAAATAATTATATCCCTTCCAAAAGAACATAATTTATTTGCAAAATTTTATATACTAAATAGTTTTAGGATCTATTTTTTAACTGCAAAAACTGTCCTTCTTATACAATAATAATGTACAAGTCTATTAAAATATTTATTTCAATTAATTTATAAAAATAAGAGAATTTATTAACAAAAAATTATTAAATTAATATTAAAATTTAAAGATAATTTATTAAAGAAATAGAAAATAAATAAAGATCAAATAAGATAATTATAAAGGTAAAGAAAATTGAAGTGTTTTTTTGTTCAGAAGAGTAAAATGGCTATCCTTATATATAGTTTGAAGTTGTACAATTATCCTTTACTTATATATTAAAGATATTCTTTTATAAATTCATTTTTTATTTCAGAATAAAAATTCCTAAATTACTAATAATTCTATTATATAAAGAGCTTTAGTAACTAAATAATTATATTTTTTATATGATTTTAGCCATAATTTAATAAAGTAAACTTTAAGTATTTGATTAATAAAATCTTGAGATATTTTGTCTCAAAAATTGTCCACCATATAAAATCTATAGAAATTCAAAGAATTTTCACAATTTTATAAATCAATTGCATGGTTATATGATTTCAGACATCTATTTTCTTGAATTAAGACATTATTCCTTCTTATAAATAATGTTTTCAATAATATTTTCATAAAATAATAGTAAAATAATTTTTTTTTTTTTTTTTATTAACTAGCTAGGCCTTGCCTAACGTACTTTATTTAATTTACATTTGTATTTCTGTTACAAGAATTACTATATATAAATTATTCTAGAT